TTGTGTTAACTAACATTTCGCATACACTCACCATTTGCCGCAGCTGTCGCGTTTGTTTGACCAGTATGAAATCTTTTCCTTCTTTCGGCTGGCGGTTAAAGCCTATACGCCGATTAGCTGGAATGCGTACGTAACCAGTGGGAGTCCGCTCATATCAACTCAAACATTTGTATTTGTGTAGCGGTCAGCTCATATTTTGTATTTTCGGTAGCACTTTTTGAAGAAAATGCTCACGTAGCTGCTCAGTTGAATAGTCGGTGAACTTTTCAGTATTATTCCAACTCGCTGTGTGGAAATCATTCCAAGTTTCGTCACGTTCGGCAAAAAGTAACCGACTGGAGGTTGTTACATACTGGATTAAAGCCTGGTCTAGCTCCGCTGTGTTTTCACTAATATCGATTGATGTATTTACATCTGTTACGGGCGACTGACTGCCATGAATGTCATACATTTCTACGTCCAATGTATCCATTTTTAGTAATTTTATTAAGTTGTGGAATTTTGCAAATGACTGAAGACACTATTTCTTTTTAAACGCGCGGAATTTTTGACATCACAAAAACGGAAACGGCAATTGAAACAATCGTTGCTAAATTATTTCCCTTTCTTTGAAATTCCGTGTTCCGAGGTTGCATTTTTGGGAGAGAAAAGTCCCAAACCTATCCGTGCGGGTAATGTGTAATATTGGACAGCAGATGTCGCCCAAGCCATTAGTACATACAGCTGTATTCAAAAAAATACTAAAGTGCCGCTGGATCGTTCCCGTCAAGCAAGAAACCCAAGTCGGCTTTGGCCTTGATTAACATATACACGGTGACCATCCGTTCTGTTTTTGCAGAAACGTACTGTTTTTCAAAGGTCGGTCCTGCGTAGTTTTTCAAACCTAAAAAACCTGAAAATGTACTGATTTTTTCCAAGTGTCCTGCATTTGTCCCGCATTAGGGTGGGCTTTAGTAGTCAGCCGCACCTTGTGTTTTAAGAAAACCAGGTGGAATTAACAAATGAAACTTGGTCAGGATGTTAAGGGAGGTATCCTCTAAAACATGTATAACTGAAAAATATAAATAATATCATTGTTTATAAGTTATTTGTTGTTAAAATTTCTTAAGTTGTTCCACTTGGTTTCCTTAACAAAAAGGCATTTGTGCATACCTTTATATATATAAATGCACATAACACTGTACTTAATACTTTACACACTTTTCTTTTATTTTATCTTGTATATAAATCACTTTAATTAAACTTTTATCGGCTTGTAAATTACATTGAATTTCACGCATATTTACAATAACACATGGTTGCAAACTGGCACATAACATGTGTTGCCATATTGTACAAAACAATACATACAAAGAAGGCAATGATTAAAAAGGAATACAGGGGAAATCAATAAAAAAGAAAATGTTCAGCTCCTTTTCTTCGCAAAACAGAAAGGAGAATTCTATTGCCTGAGGGTTATAATCCCTAAGTGCGGCCGAAGGCCGCCTACGCAGAAAGGTGTTCTCTGCAAAAGGTGTTCAGCTCCTTCCCTTCGCAAAACAGAAAGGAGAATTCTACTGCCTGAGGGTTATAATCCCTAAGTGCGGCCGAAGGCCGCCTACGCAGAAAGGTGTTCTCTGCAAAAGGTGTTCAGCTCCTTTTCTTCGCAAAACAGAAAGGAG